CAAGAAGAGACACCCCAGTCACCTGCGGATATCACTAGCACCCCAATCAGAAAATGTAATAGTTTGACTCTGGAATATTAAATCCAGAGCAGTACTTGCTACATTTTATTCATATTTGACCAACTTGAAAGGGGTATAGTTAAAGTGGAAAATTAGTTTGAGGAAGATTTCTAAAAGAGTTAAAAATCCTAAATTTAAACTGTATACTTTTGTTTTACTTTGCTGTGGAATTTTTTTATTTTTTCATACCCACTATAAACTATAAATGAAAACTGCTTGAGTCAGATAATATTCTGATCAGGAAGGGGAATTCTGGAACTTGAACCTCTTTGAAAGCAGACATACCTGAATTACAGTAATGAATTGTCTCTGACAGAGTGTGACTTAAAATTAAAGAGTTTTTCCTTTATACTTATATCATAGGTCACAGGCACTAGAGACACCACCTCTCTTGCACAATGGAATAGCTAACTGATGCTACACCCCAGCAAACACTTAGCATGTCAGAAAAATAAATACCAATTATCAGATTTGAGAGAGTTAAGAAAAGAGTGGATAGTATAGAGAGGTAAACATGAAGTGTAGACAACTTTTCAAAGTTTAGCACTGAATTGGAGGAAAGAATTGCAACAAAAAGGACTTAAGAAAATTATCACAATGACAATAATCTTACTTCCCGGAGGAACACACTGCACCAGGAAATCTTCTTTCCTCTCTGGAAGGTTGGATCCCTGAATTCTTAAACTTGTGCTGAGGAAGAGGGAGAGATAGAGGTAAAGGGAGACTTAGGAATTCCTGGGAAATGTCAGTTATATCACATAGGCAGACTAACAGAACAGACTGCATGGGGGAGAAATGACTAAATAAAAAACAAAAATGTGAGTTGTTACTACGTACAAGGCATTGTCCTCAGTTCCCCTACCTCCTTAATTCTGACAAACAACAGTTCTTTAAATTTGTTCTTCCTTCTAATCTGCCTATTTTGTGTGGTAATATTGCTAATAACCATCCACTGTCCTTTTCTATGAGATTATGCAAATTAATTTAGAGCTTAAACCAATGTTGCTCTTAATTGCCATTTCTGCTTGGCAAGATCACATTTAGTGCAATTTTTAGACTCTCTCATCATAGCAACTATTTGGCTTCCCCACAGAATTGTTACAGTTATTCTACAGATTGTTCTAAAATTCTCTAGAGAATTGTTAAAATCTATTTTCCATTTTTGATATCAAAACTAGTAATTCATAATTAAGATGGATGGAGAAAAAAGAGGATGAGGAGGAAGAGGAGATGCATTGTAGAATGGCTGCACTGTAAGTTTAGTGATTTGGAACATAGAATGTGAAATAATTCATCAGAGATATGAAGAGTATTTGCAAGTGAAATATTTATCCTTTAATCTGTAAGCAAAGAGGAAATCAGTAGGAAGAAGAGAGGAGCAGTATGGTAGTTATTCTTATAAGTCAGGTTAATAGTCAAGATGGGTTAGGAATGCGTTAAGACAGCTTCCTTTCCAGGTGGGATCATCCACCTATTTACACTTGCTTATCACATTAAACTCTTTATCATTTATTTGAGATAAAGCCTTAAAGAGATTTCCTTATCCCTTTGTTGCTAACAATATGTTCTACTATGCCCAAAGGGCTATAAAACTGTGCATATTGACCCAGCAATGCTACTAGTAGGTCTGTAACCCAAAGACATCATAAAAAAAGGAAAAAGGATCCACATGCACAAAAATATTTACCAGCAGCTCTTTTTGTGCTGGCAAAGAATTGGAAATTGAGCAGATGCCTATCATTTGGGGAATGGCTGAACAAGTTGTAGCATATGAATGTAATGGAATACTATTGTTCCCGAAGAAATGATGAGCTGGTGGACTTCAGAAAAACCTAGGCTTACATGAACTGATGCTGGGTGAAGTGAGCAGAACCAGGAGAACATTGTACACAGTAACAGCAACATTGCATGATGACCAACTTTGATAGACTTAACTCTTCTCAGCAATACAAAGATCTAAGACAATTCCAAAAGACTCATAATGAAAAATGCTATCCACATCCAGAGAAAGACCTGTGGAGTCTGAATGCAGATGGAAGCATATTATTTAATCTTTCTCTCTCTTTTTGTTTCTTCTTTCTTGTGCTTCTCATTGTTTCTAATAATTCTTTACAATGTGACTAATGTGCAAATATGTTTAATATAAAAGTATATGTGTAGCCTATATCAGATTACATGTTATCTTGGGGTAGGGTAGGGAAGGGAGGAGGAGAAAATTTGGAACTCAATATCTTATGGAAGTGAATGTTGAAAACTAAAAATTAATTAATTAATTAAAACAATATGTTTAGCCATTGGACATTGGACATTAAGGAACAAATGAATGAAATAAAAATGTATGTTTTGTTTACTGTGTGTCAAGCATTTTTCTAAGTGCTATAAACACAAATAGAAAAAATAGGAGAGTTCTTATTCTTAAGGAGCTGCCACTCTTTATAGTAAAAAAGAAACAGAGGAGGGAGGAAGAAGAGGAAAAAAGAAATGAGGAAGGAAGGAAAAGGAAAGAAATAAGTATTTATTAACTGGTCTCTATGTGCTAAGCACACAACAATCCAGGAAGTTAGGCCTCCATTTTACAGTTTAGGAAACTGAGGCAAACAGATGTTAAGTGACTTGGTCACATAGTGAGTGTCAGAGGCCAAATATGGACTCAAGTCTTCCTGACTACAGGTCCAGCACTCTATCCACCTTGCCATCTAATCCTAGGGTATGACACAAATGTCACCCACCTCACCCCAGGATATGAATCATTCAGATTTTTAACTAAAGATGTTCCTCTAGTTAATTTGCACACACGAACAATAGGGCCTAAGCTTTGGTCTGCTCCCACCACAATGTAACTGGCAAGCTTGAATGAATTACTAATTGTAATAGAAGGGAAGTGTAACAAATCATGTAATTAAAATAATGTAGCTCGTACACTTGGATTTCTGTGGGTGCACCTGAAATAGGGGAAAGAACAACTGGCTAATGCCAATACTCAGAGATACCAAGTCAGTCCTTACAGGACACAAAATACAGAAATGTAAGTAATTAAAATGTATTTCTATTTGGAAAGAAATGCTGAGAGCAGTATAAAAAGTAGAAGCACTTGTTTTTTCTACCAGGGTAGATCGCACAACAGGGGCTTCTTCATGCTTAGGATCCAGTAGGTCCCTCTTTGCTGAGTCCAAGTTCACATCACTTGCAGAAAATTGGGGAATAAACAAAAAGAACTATCACCCTAGAACAAATGTGGACAAGAGGCAGTAGATAGAGTATTGGACTTCGTAGGAAGAGCCGTGTTTAAATCTTATCGCTCTCTACACTCACACAGACATTTACTAGATATGTGATCTTCAACAAGTTACTTAACCTCTTGGTACCTCAGTATCCTCACGTGTGTAATGAGGATGATAATAACAGCACCCACCTCACAGGTTTGTTGTGCAGAGGATACAAAAAGACAACATTGTAAAGTACTTTGCAAACTTTAAAGCATGAACTATTATTATTAATGTTATTGTTGATATGATCACCATCATCATCATTATTATCATCCCCAAGTACTGAATGCTGTAATCGTATATGCATGGAAAACACTGAAATCCTGAATTTCCATGGACTAAGGGGTTAAGCCAGGACATACACACACACAGAGACACTAGATCATGAAAACTAAATTAGTATTGATGATAAGACTACAGGTTAGAAACCTCAGATAGTGGAAAGAGAATTAGCTCTGGAGTCAGAGGACCTGGATTCTAAACCTACCTGACATTTATTACTTGCACGAAATTGATGTCTCTGGGCCTCATTTTCCTTACATGTAAAATGCTAGCTAGTTAAAATGTATATGGCACTCTTGGGTTTCCAAAGCACTGTCATGTATTATTTAATTTGATACTTACACAACCTTACGAAGTAGATGCTATTTTTATATGTGTTTTACAGGTGATGAAACCAAGGATAAGAGTGGTTAAGTGATTTGCCCAGGGTCACACAAGTAGTAAGAGTTTGAGCTGGCATTTCTACTCTAATTTCTCCTAAAGCCAAGACAACTATGCCACTTGCCTGTCTCAATGAAATAAAAGGGTCTGACTACATAGACTTGGAAGGTCTAGCCGTAGATCTATTATCACCTGAAGTTGTGCAGGATTGTTTCTTGGCAAAGACACTGGAATGGCTTGCCATTTCCTTCTCCAGTTCATTTTACAGATGAAGAAACTGAGGCAAACACTTTTAAGTAACTCGCTCCAGGTCATTCAGCCAGTAAATGTCTGAGGCCAGATTTGAACTCATGAAGATAAGTCTTCCTGACTTCAGGTCCAACACTCTCTCCACCTTGCCACTGAAGTATTTATGACCTTATCAGGCTGTCATGGTATAGTTACAGTAACCTAGGATCTTTCTGAATTCCTGGAAAATGCCAGTTATATCACACATGCAGACTAACAGAACAAACTGCAGGGGGGAGAAATGACTAAACAAAAACCAAATATGTGAGTAGTTACTTTGTACAAATTGTCATCCCCTGTATCCCCTACCTCCTTAACCCAGCCCCTCCCCCATCTGCAATCACAGACTCAGCACAGCCAATAAGACAATTATTAAAAGTCTTCAAGTCTTTAATTTCTTTTCATTTTTGGTATTGCCATGTGATGTGTGTAATCCCATAAGGTTAATCTAAATGAGGGAGTATTGAGGCATCAAGAAAAATTATTCAGAATGCATTTCCTTTATTAAGCAAACATCAAGAAAAAGGTCAGGAATCCTAATGAATATGTGGGTCAAAGAACAATCATAGAAACAATTAATAATTTCATTAAAGAGAATGAGAACAATGAAACAACGTACCAAAATTTATGGAATGCAGCCAAAGCAGTACTTAGGGGAAAAGCTATTGCTCTAAAGAAAAAAGGTCAGACTTCAGTGTAACAACTGGGGAGAAAGATAAATCTAAAATCTTTCTGCTCCTCACTCTAATTTTCTCCCTGCAATGTCTGGCAGAACAGAAAGAAAGCAGGTGGATGAGTGGAAGGCAGAATTACTATTAGGTGAAGGCACTGATGTCCCCTACCATAGGGTTTGGCTGGTAGGCATATGGGCTTGATCACAGAGGCCTGTACAAGGAGATAATTTGGGGGTAAGGTAAGAGAAATGAGAAAGGAAAGGGAGAAGTAGATTCCTCTGTTTTGCTGTGTTTGTTTCTTTCCCCCTCTGCTCCACACAAGGCATCTCCCTTAGGCTGAAAAAGGAAACAGATCAAGGAAAGACATGAAAAAAGTCAATTCTACCATCAAGCCCCTCATTACTTTGAACAGCCTGTCTCACCACCCCTCCAAAAATCAGGGACTCCCTTAACCCCAATTACTGACATACTCATCTTCATTTCATTTGCCACCTTTACACCAGCCCGTCTCTAGCTGTAGAATCGCCAGACTCTCACCTCTTGCTGTAAGAGAGACATCTGATTCCTGGGCGCTATCGCTACCTGGAGAAACAGGAGGGAGACAACCTGATCAGGAATATATTGTTCAGAACAGGAGAGTGGGAAAGGATGGGGAGAGGTGAAGAGAGAGGAGGGATTTTGGTTTATCATTTACAACGTCTGGAGGTTTAAATGAACCAGCTCCTCTCATCTATCCCCATGTTGACCCTTTACTTACTTGCAGTTGTAGTGTAGCTCCCTCTTTTACTATCTAGAAGTAAAATAATAATAATAATAATAATAATAATAATAATAATAATAATAATAATTAATTGGGAAAGTTCAGGAGAAGCAGTTACCCGTGAGGTTCAATATGTCAGCCATTTCCCTGGGACAAATTCCTATAACTGTGACACTTTAAATAGTATGGAGTCATAATTCAACAGGAAGAGAAGAAAGATTTTAGGCCTGGTCGCCTCTGGGTAGACACTGAATTCTTTTGACCTAAATTTCTAGATCTCTTTGTAATCTGAGACTGAATCACTCTGTCTGCTGACCCTATTGGACTGAAATGGACCATCTCTTAAAATGGTGTTTCTTTTTAAATTTGTTTATCTACAACGCATGGGGACTTATTCTCTGTCTCAATATGAAGAATAGACTTGTTGGGTGGGACAGATATAGCATGGGACAACCTAGAATCCCCATCATGCCTGCCGCCTACTGAGCCCCTTTCGCTTTTCCCTACCTGAAGCATTTTTCCTCCAGATCACAACCCCAACAATGACTGCAGCGAGGAGGAGGAGGAGAGCAGTGGTGACCCCTACCGAGAGCCCTACGGATGAGGACTGTGGCTCTAAAAGGAAAACGTTAAAGTGAGGAACCCTTATCCCTCTTTGAACTCAAACACAGTCACTCTCCCCCATTCAAGAATAGCTCCAGATCCTTCTGTTGCTGGGAGTGGAGAGGTGCAGAGAGCCTCCCCCACCTCAGCCCCACCTCACTATTCTTACCCCATTTCAGGAAGACTGGCTCAGGTAATCCCTCATGCTGCACTCGGCAGGTATATTTCTGTTCGCTTCCAGAGAGCATCCCCACAGCTGCCCACTTCTGGAAGGTCCCATCTCCCGCAGGTCTGGTCTCAATGAGCTCCGTCTCCTGGAGCTGTTCCTCCCCATCCCTCAGCCAAGTCAGTGAGATCTCTGCAGGATAAAAGCCCTGGGCCCGGCACTGCAAGGTCACTTCTCCGTCAGCACTTGTGTGTCTGGTCACTTGTAGAAAGGGTGGATCTGTGCGGTTAAGTCAGAGGCATGGTCAGGGTAGCCTTTTCCTCGTTGTCTGAGAGGCTGATTTTCTTCCAGGTAGACAAGGATAGACTAGACACAGGGAGTGGACTCACAGTCCAGGCCTGGAAATATTCTGGCCCTGGCCCTTAGGCTCTGGGAGACCGGACCCTAAGACTGTGGCTGCAGGGGAGGCACAGAAGGGCTAGAGGACCCTCCCCCATTCAGGGAAAGGAAAGCTGAACCCCACTTCTGTCCACAGCACACTCAGGCTGGGACCATGGCCTCAGGGTGAAGAAGCTGAATAGGCCAGGTAGGGAGGGGGTGCGGCAGGGCGGCAAGGTAGGAAGGTACCTGTCCCAAGCAGTGTCTCCTTTCCATTCTCCAGGTATCTGTGAAGCCAGTACACGCACTCCTCCTCTATATAGCCCTTCCAATATTTCGTAAAGCTTTGATCTGCTTCCAGCTCGAGCTTATGGTTTAGGGCCCCTGCGTTCCCGGCAATCCAACGCAGAGTCTCGGTATCCAGAGCTAAGAAGTCCTGCCCGTCGTAGGCGTATTGCACGAAGCCGCGGCTGAAGCTCCCGTTGGAGAATACCTCGCATCCCGACAGTTGCTGGAATGTATGAACCCCTGAGACCCCAAAAAATATTCAGCATGGCCCAGAGGGCTCTGTCTCACCAAGATTACACAGCGTCCGGACCCCAAAGACCATTCCTGCAGGGTCAGAAATCTTGCTCCTCTCGCGCTAAGGCCATACCCCCTACGCTCCCCCTCCCCAGCCTAACTGCCGGTGTAGGCTGTAACTATACTGACTAGACAGGCAACCCGCGATCCTCTCTGATCACTCACCTCCCTCACTATGGTTGTAGTCCCCAGACACTTTCCGCAGGCATACTCGGTAACGTTCAGTGGCTTCCCTGAAGATCTCTGTCTCCCGCTCCCAGTAGTCGGGCTGGATCCACGGCGTCCTGGGCGCTGGGCTCTGACTCTCGTGGTCGCTGTCAAAGCTCAAGACCTGCTGATCGTCCACGTAGGTTACAGAGATGAACTTTGGTTTTGCTAGCTCGGGTCGAGACATTACGGCGTAAAAATACTTCAAGGAGTGAGAGCCTGAGTCGGAAACATTGGAGACCTTGGCCCAGGTTCAGGGTGGGGACTCGATCCCGAGGTTATCAGTGGTCCGCCTCCCCACCACCCCGCCACCCCGCCTTCCGCCACTCCCGCCCCGGTCCCAGTCCAGTCTGTCCTCAGTGTCTGTGGCAAAGGCTTAGGTGTTCAGGAACAAACCCGTTCTGGCCCTCTGGGCATTGTCTCCACATAGATGTTTTACCTTGTGCTAGACTTACTTACCAGCCCAGGTCTCTGTAAGGACCAGGACACTCAACAAAAGTAGAGGCAGCATATAAATTTCCATGGTCAATAATCATGAAACACCAACTCACACCGACTTTATATAAAAGCGGAGCCTTAACTCCAATTGGCTGCAGAGAGACTTTGTCACCCAACGGCAAATGAAAACAGAGAAGTGTCATGTGTGGATGGTCAGAATAAAGAGAGGCTGTAGGAAGAAAACTGGAAACAGATTCTGAGGGAATCCCCAGCATTCGTATCAGCCACCTTTCTCTTGTACCCACTAGTTATACCCAACTTTCTTCTAACACCCTCCACATCCAGCTCCTGTGCTCTGAGCTTGAAAGAACTACCCCTCAGTTCCTCAAACCTTTTCCCAATGTCTTCTCCTTCTGTTTTTCCTACCTCCATTCCTCCTCGACTTGTCCCTCTGTGAATGACTTAGCTACTCTCAGCAATACAATAATCCAAAGCAATTCTGCAGGACTTGAGATGAAAGATGCTATATATCTCCAGAGAAACAACAGAGAGAGTGTGAATGTAGATTGAAGCATACTTGTTCTTTACTTCCTGTATTTTTCTTTTTTTTTCCCTTTGTTTTCTTTCACAACAGGACTAACATGGAAATGTGTTTTTCATGTCTGCACATGTATAATCTATATCAAATTACTTGCCTTCTTAATGAGAGGGGGAGGGAAGGCAGGGAGGGAGAGAATTTAGAATATAAAAATTCTAAAAACAAATGTTAAAATAGTTTTTACATGTAATAGAGGAAAAATTTTTAAAAAATTTAAATGTTTTTCTTAATTGTAAAATAGGGATGGATAATAACAGCACCTACCTGAGGATCAAATGAAATAAAATATTAGTAGCATAGTGCCTAGCACGTAGTAGGTGCTATATAAATGATTATTCTCTTCCCTACCATATTCACCCCAAGCAATGTTCCTATCCTATCCTTGATCTTTCTCTTGATCACAATATATTTTTTTTTAATCTCCTCACCCTTATCTGCTGGAGGCAATGTTCAGAGTTCTAGGCTAGGTTTGCTGCTCAGCACCTTGGCCTTTGCTGCATACACTGAGGATAGAATGAACTGGGACAGGATTACACTGACACTGAAAAATCAAAATAAATCTCTAGTTATCCAAACTTCCAGTGCCATTGTGAAAGGAAAGGTTGAAGTATCCTGAATCCTTGTCTTAGTTTCCTCTTTGATTCTTTCACTTTTTATTTATTTCTTTGCTTGTTTGTTTGCTGTTGTTTCACAATCTCCTGCAAGTAATAATTCTACTCCACTCTGTCTTGATCAGGCAACATCTAGAATAACATGTTCAGTTTGGGGCACTTTAGAAAACACCCTGAACATTCTCGAGTGTATCTAGAACAAAGACATCAAGTGATGAGAGGAGTGGAGAACAAGCTGAAGAGCATCAATAGAAAGAATTAGGGGTGTTTAATGTGGAGAAGTGAAGGCATAGTGGGGACATGATAGATGTCTTGAAGTGTTTGAAAGGCTCCCATTTGGAAGCAGAACTAGATCTATGTTCAAGAGAACACAACTAAAAATAATGAATGAAAGTTATAGAAGGACAAATTTCCTCTTGATGTAGGGGAAAGTTTCCTAACAATTAGAGCTATCCAAAATAGGCTTTCTCTGGAGACAATGGATTCTCACTCTTTGGAAGTTTTCAAACTGAGATATGACTTAGGGGCCATTGTAGAAAGGATTGTTGTTCAGATACAGGTTGGACTAGATGTAATCTAAGATTCCTTCCAAGTCTTAGAGTCTGTGACTCTGAATTAACAACTCTAGACATTGGCATCCATGCTTTCAGATGAAAACATGATTTATTCTGCCCACTCATTTAAATGGGAGAGGAGTGGAGAAAGGGAAACTATTCTAGTACCTAGCACATGCATGCATACACACACACACATGAATGCACACAAATGCCCATACACACATACACATATCCTGTGTAATAACAGTTGTAGGGCTAAGACAGAATGTGGTATTCAATGGCTTTAGCTAAAGGAGCTGGAGGGAAGCAGGGAGCCAAGCCAATCATTGTTATCCCTGACACCTCTAAAAACCTAGGGTCTACTAGAAAGAAAAAAGTAAGAAACTGAGTCCAGAAAGTGCTGAGAGGTAAATAATCAAAACCTAGCTGTGAAAAAAAATACTTGGAGAATACAGTCATTCTGGAAAGCAATTAGGAACTATACCTCAAAAGTCACTAACTCTGCATACTTTTTTAACCCAGAGCCACAAATACTTGGTTTATACTCTTAAAGAGATCAAAGAGGAAAAGGACCATATGCACAAAAAATATTAATAACTCTTTTTGTAGTAGACAAAAGACCCTAGAAAGTAAATTATTTATGTAATTTTAAAAAGAGCTGTTATAAATATATAATGACCAAAAATAATTCCAGAGGATTGACAATGAAGGAGCCTACCTCTTTGCAGAGAGGTATCAGATACATGTTGAAGAATGAGACACTCATTTTGCTGCATGGCCAATGTGAAAATTTGTTTTGCCTGACTGGCTATTTGTTAAATTTCCTTCCCTTCCCTTCCCTTCCCTTCCCCTCCCTTCCCTTCCCCTCCCTTCCCTTCCCTTCCCCTCCCTTCCCTTCCCTTCCCTTCCCTTCCCTTCCCTTCCCCTCCCTTCCCTTCCCTTCCCTTCCCTTCCCTTCCCTTCCCTTCCCTTCCCTTCCCTTCCCTTCCCTTCCCTTCCCTTCCCTTCCCTTCCCTTCCCTTCCTTCCCTTCCCTTCCCTTCCCCTCCCTTCCTTTCCCTTCCTTTCCCCTCCCTTCCATTCCCTTTCCTATTTTTCAATTTGGATGGAGAGACAGAGAAAAGAAAGGAAAAAAAGCTTGTTAATTTGAACATAAAAAAAATTTTAAAAAAATTATTACCAACAAAAAAAAAACTAATTTAAAAAAAGAAAGGGAGCTGAAAAAAATCTCGTGAGAAAAAAAAAGATGGAGAAAGTCAGTGAATTGACTCCCTAAGAAAAAAGAACTTAGAGATCATAATGTGTCCATCCCCTATTTAAAAAAAAAAATTAAAAAGCTTCAACAGTTTGTCTTGCATTACAAATTGAAGTTTAATTCAATTCATTAAATGTGTATTGATCTCCTCTGTGCAGGGAACTGTATATCAAAGAAAGGTTATTTCAGGAAGATGAACATGATGCTAAACCCAAGGTGCAAGAGCCTTTATTTTATCTTAAGATGCCTCTTTTTAGGTGTCCTTTTCTTTAAGGAGGCAATTCCTTTATTCTCCGTGGCTTTTTCCCCAAACAAATGTTTTTCAGCTCTTTCTTTTTTCAAGTGTTTTGCTATTTTTTTAAAGTAGATTTTTTTCTTTGTTTTTGCCAAGGAATTTTAAAAATTTAATTAATTTGTTTTTAGTTTTCAACATTCACTTCCATGAACTTTTGAGTTTTAAATTTTCTCCCTCTCCCTTCCTGCCTCCCTCCCCAAGACAGTGTGCAATCTGATATAAACTTTACATATACATTCTAATTAAACATATTTCCATGTTATTCATGTTGTAAAGAAGAATTAGAACCAATAGGAGGAACCACAAGAAAGAAGAAACAAAACAGAACAGAAGAAAAAAAAAGGAATCGTATGCTTCGATCTGCTTTCAAACTCCACAGTTGTTTCTATGGATGTGGATAGCGTTTTCCATCATGAGATTTTTGGAGATGTCTTAGGTCCTTGCATTGCTGAGGAAAGCCAAGTTTAACAACGTGGCTGTTACTGTGTACAATGTTCTCCTGGTTCTGCTCACTTCACTCAGCATCAGTCCATATAAGTCTTTCCAGGTTTTTCTGAAGTCCATTTGCTCATCATTCTTTACAGCACAATAGTATTCCATTACATTCGTATACCACAACTTGCTCAGCCATTCCCCAATTGATGGGCATCCTCTCAATTTCCAATTCTTTGCCACCACAGAAAGAGGTGCTATAAATATTTTTGTACATGTTGATCCTTTTCCCATTTGTATGATCTCTTTGGATATAGCCCTAGAAGTGCTATTGCTGAGTCAAAGTGTATGCAGAGCTTTATAGCCATTTGGGCATACTTCCAAATTGCTCTCAAAACTGGTTGGATCAGTTCACAACTCCACTAATAATCCATTAATTCCAATTTTCCCACATCTCCAACACTTATCATTTTCCAATTTGGTATGTTGGCCAATCTGATAGGTGTGATGTGGTATCTCACAGTTCTTGCATTCCTTTAATCAAAACTGATTTAGAGCACTTTTTCACATGACTATAGATAGCTTTAATTTATTCATCTAAGAACTGCCTGTTCATATCCTTTGACCATTTATCAATTGGGGAATGACTTGTGTTCTTCAATTTCTTTTTCTGAGATGGGGTTATTTAAATATTTCCTTTCCTCTTCTGTTAATCTGGGCAATTTATATTATTGTAAATATTCATCCACTTCACTGAGATTGTCAAATTTATTGGCATACAGTTGGGCAAAATAGTTCCTAATTATTGTTTTAATTTCCTCTTCATTGGTGGTGAATTCACCTTTTTCATTTTGGATACTGGTAATTTGGTTTTCTTCTTTTTTTAAAAAAAAAATTAAATTAACCAAAGGTTTATCTATTTTATTGGTTTTTTCCTCATAAAATCAGCTCTTAGTTTTATTTATTAGTTCAATAGTTTTATTAATTTCAGTTTTATTAATCTCTCCTTTGGTTTTCAGTATTTCTAATTTGGTTTTTAATTGAGGATTTTTAATTTGTTCTTTTTCTAGCTTTTTTAGTTTCATGCCCAATTCATTGATCCCCCCTTAGGGGAGGTTCTCCATTCTTAGGGGAAATTATATATATCTACTTTATTCATGTAAGCATTTAGAGATATATAACTTCCCCTAAGAACTACTTTCATTGCATCCCATAAGTTTTGGTATGTTCTCTCGTTATTATTATTCTCTTGAATGAAGTTATTCATTGTTTCTATGATTTGTTGTTTAATCCATTCATTTTTTAGGATTTGATTATTTCGTTCCCAATTATTTTTTAGTCTACCTTTCCACGACCTTTTATTACATATAATTTTTATTATGTCATGATCTGAAAAGGATGCATTTAATATTTCTCCCTTCCTGCATTCCAC